CATGATTGCTCTCTTTAAATATGTGAAAGGCTGTCATTTGGAGGAGGGCAAGGAGCTGTTCCAGTTGGCAGGCAGCAGAGGAGAGGACCCGAAGCAACGGGTTTAAATTACATGCAGAAAGGTACCAGCTGGATATTAGGAAAAACGTTTTCACGGTCAGAGTGGCTCAAAGGTGGAATCGGCTGCCTAGGGAGGTGGTGAGCTCCCCTTCACTGGCAGCTTTCAAGAAGAGGCTGGATGAATATTTGCCAGGGATGCTTTAGGCTGGTCCTGCATTGGGCAGGGGGTTGGACGAGATGGTCTGTATGGCCCCTTCCAACTCTATGATTCTATGTTCATATCCCTGCCTTTGAGCTCCTCCTTCGTCTCATTCCTTTCCCCCCCCACACCTGAGCTTCCTTGTCTGCACAGAATACCCACTGGTACCTACCTGACAGCCACAGACAGCTCCTCCCACCCTTTATGCCCCGAGCAAGCTTTCCTGCAGCCAATCCGACCCTCCTCGCCTCTGCCAGACCCATCGCTCCTGAACAGAACTCCCGTGACATCACAGCAGCTCAGCCAATGAGCAGCTGCGGAATGGAAGCCCCTGCAGATCCCAGGAAAGAGCCGGCCAAAGCACTCCAGAGACAGAACCGCCCCTCCCCGGAGTCGACGCAGCGAGACGGAAGCAGACAGGCATCCGTGGGAGTTGGTGAAACAAAGAACAGCCGTGCGCCAGGACTCTCCGTCTCCTGCGACAGGGAAGACTCACCAGGGTTGGAGACGGCTGCGTGCGGCTTCCTGAGCTGCGGGATGATAGTGTAGGCGTCGTAGCCCATGACGATTCCGGCCAGCAACCCAAACACCTGGTAGGGAGGAATGCAAAAATCAGCTTGAATGCCCATCAGCTTTTTACATTGGGCACGCACACTGTCGGTGGTGATCAAAGCCCCGTACCAGGGGTCCCCAACGTGGTGCCCACGGGCACTGCGGCACCCGCCAACACTTTTCCTTGGGCCTGTCAAGTGCTTTTAAATAGTGGGGGGTCCATGTTCCCTCTAAGCTCCATGGTGTTCTGTGCAGAAATTCTACCTCGCGAGTGAAAAAAGCTGGTAACATTAAAGTTGTGAGTGAGTCTACATTTGAGTATCACAAAAATGAGTTTTTTTAGAAGATTATTTCCATAACTTTGTAAAAATCTCAGAATGAATTCTTTTAAATTGTACTTAAGCTATATTTAAAGAATAATTTACGCCTTTCCACGTATGTTCCCCCAAGAGCTCTACGGTCGGGGGCCCAAAACCTTCTAACTGTGCCGGGCCCCAAGGATGCTAAACTGGCCGTCACCAGGGCTAGGGCTTTTTCGGTGGCGGCCCCCACCTGGTGGAACGAGCTCCCGGAGGAGATCCGGGCCCTGCGGGACCTGATGCAGTTCCGCAGGGCCTGCAAGACGGAGCTCTTCCACCAGGCTTTCGATTAGGGGCCGCTGCCGCCCCCCCTGTTATATTACCATCCTTGGGGGGGGTAGGGCCCTAGGTGGGCAGGAAGAAACATCTCAAAATATAACATCTATCATGGAATGCCTACCGGGGGATGTTTGGTTTGTGGATGTGGTTTTCCTCTCTGAGATTCCGGAACGGTATGGATGATGTAGTCTGAGCACTTTAATGTTTGAATGGGTTTTTTAAATTGTATATTATGTTTTTAAATGTACTAAATTATTTGATGTTTTATTAGCAAGTTCTCTTGCCATGTAAGCCGCCCTGAGCCCTTCGGGGGAGGGCGGGGTATAAATTTAATAATAAATAAATAAATAAATAAATAAACAAACATTATAAGAGAAAACAGAATCAAGTCAAATTTCACCCACCCCTTTCCACTATATTGATAGACCTGTCCTGTGGAGGTCTACCTGTCCCTTTCCACCATATTGGTAGATTTGGCCTCCAGAGAACAGGTCTACCCATTCCAGTCCATTATATTGGTAGACCTGTCTGCCGGAGAACAGGTCTATCTGCCCCAGTCCACTATGTTGGTAGACCTGTCTGCCGAAGAACAGGTCTACCCATTCCAGTACATTATATTGGTAGACCTGTCCTCCGGAGAACAGGTCTACCTGCCCCAGTCCACTATGTTGGTAGACCTGTCTGCCGAAGAACAGGTCTACCCATTCCAGTACATTATATTGGTAGACCTGTCCTCCGGAGAACAGGTCTACCTGCCCCAGTCCACTATATTGGTAGACGTGGCCTCTGGAGAACAGATCCACCCACCCCTTTCCACAACATTGGTAGACCTGGCCTCCAGAACAAGTCTGCCCACCAATGCCCCCTCTGAGTCTTGTGAGCAAAAATTCTACTTGGTGAGCTACTGGCATTAAAGTGGTGAGCGAGCCATTTGGCTACTGCATCAATTAGTTTGCTCTGGAGCAATGCTCCCTCTAAGTTGCGGAGTCTTGTGAGCAAAAATTCTGCTTTGTGAGCTACTGGCATTACAGTTGTGAGCGAGCAAATTTGGCTACTGCATAAATTAGTTTTGCCCTGGAGCCCTCCTTCCTGAGCGAAGACAAAAAATCTTTGAGCTGGAGGCTAAAAAACTGTGAGCTACCTCACACTAACTCAGCTGAGAGGGAACACTGCTCTGGAGCCATCCCTTCCTGAGCTAAGGCAAAAATGTGTGAGCTGGAGGCTAAAAAACTGTGAGCTAGCTCAAACTAACTCAGCTTAGAGGGAACACTGCTGCCCACCCCTTTTGAAGTCTGCCGCTCTTAATCACTACACCAAACTGGAGAGGAAAGGCACTTTCTGGGAGGTCCACTCCCTGAGTGGATCTCGCTGGATATAAGCACTGATTAGTCTCTGAGGTACGACTGGGCCTTTTTGGCTTCAACCAAGAGGCGGACACAGCAACCCCTCGTGTGTTTTCATTGGCTCTGCCGCATCCAGCGGTTCACTCCGATCCAAGGCCGAGCACGCCTCAGCCGACTCACTGCGATTCCTCTGCACCCTCCAGCTCGCTGCCAAATCAGCACCCCACTTTCCCGATCCCACCCTCCAGGAAACCCCGCGGCGGCTCTTACCCCTGCGGCGACGCCGGCTCCATCTTGGTGTCCTATGATGACAATAAGGGAGGTGATGAGGAAGGCCACGGCCCCAATGAGAGCCCTGAGGAAATCCTAAAGACAGCAACAATTAAAAAAGGGGAAAAAAAGAGTTAAAAGCAAATCCATTTGTGTACCACCAGATCTTGTGTTTCGATGCCTCGTACTTGAGGAAGCGCGAAAGCAGTGACACAAACTGAATAATTAATAGGGTTGCCAAATATGTTTTGGCCGGGAGCGGGGGGCTCCCGGCCGGCGTCTGTAACGTGCGCGCGCCGCGTGCGCGTCACCCGGAAGTGACGTCGCACGCTGGGGGCGGGGCCATGCCATTTGAGGGGAAAACTCTTTGTTGTATCTTCTGCAGGTTTCTCTCTGGAATTATATCGTGTGATGTCAAATGGCGTGGCCCCGCCCCCAGCGTGTGACGTCACTTCCGGGTGACGCGCACGCGGGGGTGGGGTTTCCCCTGGGCCCCGATTCTGCGGGAGCGGAAAGCGGGGCTCGAAAGCGGGGGGAAATCCGCCCCCCGGGGGCATTTGGCAGCCCTAATAATTAATAGTGATTATCATATAGCACTGTGTGTAGAACAGCCAGGAGATCCCAAGATTCTCTGGCACCCGCAAGTCGTAGCTCTTAGCGTTAAGCACCACTAGTTGGCGAGCTGGACTTGTTCTTTATTTTATTTATTTATTTATTTTATTCAAATTCTATTCTGCCCTCCCCGCAAACGGGCTCAGGGCGGATCACGGCAGGATTCCAAAACAACAAAGAATTTACAGAATAATTCAAAACAATTTAAAGATCGCATCGACTTAATAAGAAAAAACACACAAAACAGGCTGCCTTATTTCATGATATACATTCTTTTCAAACTGGCGCCACTGGGTCTCTGAGATCTTATTGGTCCAGGCCACACTGAGGTGGTAGGCCTCAATTTCAGCCATCTCAGTTTTTTATTGGACGTCCGCTGCCTCAGCCAAAGGCCTGGTGGAACAGCTCCGTTTTAGAGGCCGGACAGAACGGCAATAAGTCCCGCAAGGCCCTGGTCTCTGGCATGTTCTACCAGACTGGAGACACCCAGCAGATCTTGACCAGCAGAGCGCAAGGCTCTTCGGGGCACATAGGGGGCTGAGAGAACTCTGAGAGAGCTGTGGCTGACCCAAGGTCACACAGCTTGGCTTCAGGAGGAGGAGGAGGAGGAGGAAGAGGAGGAGGAGATTGGATTTATACCCCACCTTTCAATCACCAAAGGTGTCTCGGAGTGGTGAGAGAGCTCTGACAGAGACTGCTCTTTTTCAAGAACAGCTCTGATAGAACTATGGCTTGCCCAAGGTCATCCAGCCAGGTGCAAGTGGAGGAGTGGGGAATCAAACCCGGTTCTCCCAAATTAGAGTCCACGCACTTCACCACGACACCAAACTGGAGTGGAGAATCGAACTTGGTTCTCCAGATATAGAGTCCGCCGCTCTTAACCACTACACTAAACTGGCTCTCACACAAACTTAGTCCACAAGCATGGACGGCTTCAAAAGGGAATTAGATAAGCATATGGAGCAGAGGTCCATCAGTGGCTATTAGCCACAAGGTATAGATAGGGGCTCTGGGGCAAGTGATGCTCTGTATTCTTGGTGCTTGGGGGGGGGGGGGTCAACAGTGGGAGAGCTTCTAATGTCCTGGCCCCACTGGTGGACCTCCTGATGGCACCTTGTATTTCTGGCCACTGTGTGATACAGAGTGTTGGGGTAGATGGGCCTTTGGCCTGATCCAACACTGGCATCTCTTATGTTCTTATGTTCTTAAACTGAACAAAAGCCAAGATTCAATGCTGGTGTGCCAAGCTACAGTACCACGGGGGCCAAACGACATACATTGTGAGGTAGTGGGATAAACAGCTAGTGTGGGACATTGTTTTCACGAGGGGCAGTGTTTTCAGTATGTACTAATCCCCACTCAGCCACAAAGCTAGTTAGGGTTGCCAAGTCTTACCCGTCTGCTGGTGGGGGGGAAGGGTGTCCTGGCTTTCCTCCTGGGTCTTCTGGTCACACGGAAGTGACGTCATCACATTGGGCATGTTCTACAGGGGACACTCTGGCATTCGGCTAAAAACTCTATGGTCACCACAGAGTCTTTAGCCAAATACCAGAGCGTCCCCCACGTGACATGCCCGGCGGGGCTGTTTGGGGGGAAGGGCTCCCTAGCCAAGCTGGATGGCAGTGGATTGGGGGCCCTGAAATCTAAACTTTGTGTCTCTATTAATTCAAGTTTTTTTCTGCACAGTGTAGCCAGGGGTCATCTCCCGCAGGAGTGCACAGGAGCGGAGCTCCGGCAGTAAAGAGCCCAGGGGGCAGGCACATGCAACAAGCCCCACCCCCTGCTCCCAGCAGCCCTCAGTCAGAGCAAGAAGCAGCCAGGTAAGTTGCAGAGCCCCCCCCGGCCCCCCAGTCCAAAACAGTACAGTGGCACCTTTAAGACTAAGTTTTATTCAGGTACAAGCTCTCCCTCCTCTGTGAGGGCAGATCTTCATGTTTCCTCCCCTCCAATAGCTAGCAATCCAGTGGAGCCTGAATGGTGGGTCTTGCCTTCTGACACACTTCCAGTGATGTCAGGGTGTGTGGCATATGCAAATAAGTTATGCCAATGAGTTATGCTAATGAGCTCCTGCACCTCTTTTTCTACAAAATGACCCCTGAGTGCAGCTATGATAATTGCAGGGGGTAGCTTTGTTGGTCTGTGGTAGAAGATCTGGATTCGAGTCCAGTAGCACCCTCAGGGACCAACAAGCTTTCGAGACTCAATGTCCCCTTCATCAGACCTCTGATGAAGGAAGCGCTGAGTCTCTCGTGAGCTTGTACCCCGAAAATCTTGTTGGTCTTTGCAATCTTTGCAAGGTGCAAAGATTTCTATATTTATCCATACACTTTGATCCCATCCTTCCTCCAAGGACTTCAGGAAAGCATCCTTGGTTCTCCCCCTCCCTTATTTTAAGCCTTTAAGTGACTTGCCTAAGTGAATGTCATGGCTAATGGGGTTATTTGAACTCAGGGCTCTCAGTTCCTAATCCAGTGTTCTAAACCCAATGCAGTGCTGGTTCACACTAGACCTGGAGTTTCCTGGAAGATTATACCATTACCAAGATTCCCTAGAGCCAGTTTGGTGTAGTGGTCAGGAGCGTGGATTCTAATCTGGGAGAACCGGGTTTGTCTCCTTCACACGCAGCCAGCCGGGTGACCTTGGGTCAGTCACAGTTCTCTCAGAGCTGTTCCCTGAGAGCTCTCTCAGTCCCACCCACCTCACAGGGTGTCTGTTGTGGGGAGATGAAGGGAAGGAGACTGTGAACTGCCCTGAGACTCTAAGTGAAGGGCGGGGTATAAATCCAATCTCCTCTTCTTCTCCTCCTTCTTCTTTTACCTCACAGGGTGTCTGTTGTGGGGAGGGGAAGGGAAAGGAGTTTGTCAGCCGCTCTGAGACTCCTTTGGGTAGTGAAGGGCAGGGTATAAATCCAATCTCTTCTTCTTCTTTTACCTCACAGGGTGTCTGTGGTGGGGAGGGGAAGGGAAAGGAGTTTGTCAGCCACGCTGAGACTCCTTTGGGTAGTGAAGGGCGGGATACAAATCCAATCTCCTCTTCTTTTACCTCACAGGGTGTCTGTTGTGGGGAGAGGAAGGGAAGGAGACTGTAAACCGCCCTGAGACTCTAAGTGAAGGGCGGGGTATAAATCCAATCTCTCTTCTTCTCCTTCTCTACGTTAAAAAATAAAAATGGGCTTCCCTACCTCCCCCCCCCTTTTTTGAGCCTTTTTTTAAATACAAGAGGCATAACATTCAAGCTATTTTCTCTTTTAATTCAAAGAGGGCAGAGGAGTTTCCCCTCTGGTCCCACCTCCGCGATCTAATTTTACCTCCGTGCTTTCAAAGAAGGTGGGTCCCCCCCCCAGGGAATGCAGCTCCGCCCTGATTAGTCAGAACGCACAAAAAACAGACTTTGTTTGGATGCTTGCTGCCGAGCTGAGGAGCTGCCCCATTCTTGTCCGTGCAACACAGGAAGGATGTTTGGAAAGAATTTCCCTGCGCGGAGGAGGAGGGCACGCGCCGGGGGAGAACACACCCTCGCACTTCCGGGGAAAATGACTGCAACTGCAGGTCAGGGCCGGCTCGGTATACACTGAGGTGGGGCCGCTCGGCTGCCAGGGCCCAGGACAAGAGAGCCAGTTTGGTGTAGTGGTTAAGAGCGCGGACTCTAATCTGGGAGAACCAGGTTTGATTCCCCACTCCTCCACGTGCAGCCGCTGGTGTGACCTTGGGTCAGTCACAAGTTCTCCCAGAGCTGTAAGCCACTCTGAGACTCCTTCGGGTAGTGAAGGGTGGGGTATAAAAACCTCTTCTTCTCCTGCTCCTCCTCCTCCTCTTTGCTGACAACCCCCTCCCCTTCCTGATCACTTGCCAGGGCTCTGCCACTTGCACGCCTAGCAGTGCATACTTCCCAGTCCCACCAGTGGATGGCGCACACGGCTGTGAGCATGGGTGGTGGGAGGTCTCACAAGTGGATAAGGGGAAGGATGCACAGGCAAGTGGGAGGGAATGAGGCAGGGGTCATTTCCTGCGGGAGCGCACAGGAGCGAAGCTCCGGCAGTAAAGAGCCCAGGGGGCGGGCACATGCAACAAGCCCCGCCCCCTGCTCCCAGCAGCCCTCAGTCAGAGCAAGAAGCAGCCAGGTAAGTTGCAGAGCTCCCCCCGCCCCCCCGGTCCAAAGCAGTCCAGTGGCATATTTAAGACCAAGTTTTATTCAGGTACAAGCTCTCCCTCCTCTGCGAGGACAGATCTGCACGTCCCCCCCCCCATAGCTAGCAATCCAAAGCAGTCCAGTGGAGCCTGAGCGGTGGGTGTTGCCTTCTGACACACTTCCAGTGATGTCAGGGGGGGTGGCATATGCAAATAAGTTATGCTAATGAGTTGTGCTAATGAGCACCTGCACCTCTTTTTCTACGAAATGACCCCCGGAATGAGGACATGAGCAGGGCTTGGTGGTGGGCAGAGGAGGGGGAAGGGGGCCCTGGGAACTCTCTGCCCGGGGCTTTGCAAAACCTGGAACCGGCCCTGCTGCCAGGAATCTCTGCATGAGGCCCTCGAAGGGCACGTTCAGATGGAGCCAGGCAGAGGTCCAACTCTGTACAAAGCAGTTCCTTCAGTCTTTCTAAAAAACGTTGGCATGAAATAAATGCAGCCTGACTGGATCGATCCGTTACTCGCCTCTGGGAAGGGAACGGACCAACTGAGAAAAAGCTGACCTTAACTTTGCAGTTTCAGGGGGAAAAACATTCCTAAAATGTAAACCAAAATGTGCATCGCCATCTAAAACACATTTATTTTGAAGGGCAGGGGGTTGTGCAGGAGGTTGGACTAGATGGCCTTGGAGGTCCCTTCCAATTCTATGATTCTGTTATTCTAAGCAGCTGCCACCACAGCACAAGGATCTTCAGCTGTGGCTCTGTGTGTGTGCGTGCGTGCACAAACCCCCACACACAGATTCAAAAAGTCTGGGGATCCCTGCTTTAATAAGAGTCCAATATTTCCACCCGCTGCATCATCTACATGCCTTAAACTTGAGAGGAATTTGGCTGTATTTCCAGTCCATTCACTGACCACACAGCACACCTCAGGACTGTGTTTGTGCCATTATTTTAACCAGGGGTCTGTTGGGCCCGGAGCACGCCGGAGCACCGCTCTGGCAGCCCAGGAGCGGGCAGAAATGGCGGTGGCGGCAAGCCCCGACCCCAGTTGCCCGACCCCGAGCTCCTTCTCTGTGGAGTCGCGCACATGGAAAGATCTTTGAACTTTTCCTCTCCCCTCTCCCCCCCCCCCCCCCCCGCCTTGGCTGGGCGGAGGGAAGCGAAGAGAGAAGGGGTTTAAAGATCTTTCCATTGTATTCTACGGCCCATAGAATATAATGGAAAGAGAGAAAGGGTTTAAAGTTTAAAGATCTTTCCATTGTATTCTACGGCCCATAGAATATAATGGATAGTGAGAAAGGGTTTAAAGTTTAAAAATCTTTCCATTGTATTCTATGGCCCATAGAATATAATGGAAAGAGAGAAGGGGTTTTAAACCCCTTCTCTCTTCGCTCCCCCCCCAGCCCGCCTTGGCGGGGCGGCTGGGGAAGTGGAGGGGAGGCTTTTGAAGATGCCTCCCCCCCGCGAGTGGAGGAGTGGGGAATCAAACCCGGTTCTGCCAGATTAGAGTCCGCGCACTTAACCACTGCACCAAACTGGCTCTCAAAAGGGATGCGCAAACACCCAACTTTCCCCTCCATCATCAGTCAACCATAAAACAAAGGCCTTACCGTCCATCCCCAATGGATAAAAGTGATCTGGAGATGAAATTCAAATGCAAAGATGATAAATATGACGACGGTGTAGATCAGCTCGAAGATGGCCAGGGAGACGTAGCCGAGGGTTACCGAGGCACCGTAGCAGATCAGGATGAGTATGCACAGAGCCTAGGGGAAAAGGGAAACACACCCGTCCGTCAAAAGAGAACGCTGAAGGACAGACGTAAACGTCCAAAATGAGGGTGAGGGTTAAAGGTCGACCCCTGGATATATGCAGTTACTCCTTTCATTTTTTCTCCAAAAAGATGAGAACTTTAAGGCATCCGATGACGCTGATGGGCAGTAGGTTCTCGACGGACAGAAGGAAGTACTACTGTGGAATTTGATGCCAGAGGAGGTAGTGATGGCCACAGGAATAAACAGCTTGAAAAGGGGATCAGCCAGATTCATGGAGGGGAAGTCTAATTATGGTTACTAGCCATGGTGGCTGAGGGGAACCTTCTCATTCAGAGGAACTAAGCCCCTGAATCCCAGAGCCAGGAGGCAACCTCAGGGGAAGGCCTCGGCCTCTCTGCCCTGTTGCTGGCCCTCCAGAGGAACTGGCTGGCCCCTGTGTGAGCCAGGAGGCTGGACTAGAGGGACCACAGGCCTGATCCAGCAGGGATCTTCTGGTATTCTTTTGAAAGCCTGGGTCTATGCCCTGTTGCTGGCCCTCCAGAGGAACTGACTGGCCCCTGTGTGAGACAGGAGGCTGGACTAGAGGGACCCTCCCTGGTCTGGCCCAGCAGGGCTCTTCTGGTGTCCTTATCAGGGGAAGGCCTCGGCCTCTCTGCCCTGTTGCTGGCCCTCCAGAGGAACTGGCTGGCCCCTGTGTGAGACGGGATGCTGGACGAGAGGGACCCTCACTGGTCTGACCCAGCAGGGCTCTTCTGATGCTCTTATCAGGGGAAGGCCTCGGCCTCTCTGCCCTGTTGCTGGCCCTTCAGAGGAAATGACTGGCCACTGTGTGAGACAGGATCCTGGACTAGAGGGACCCTCATTGGTCTGATCCAGGAGGACACTTCTTCTTCTTCTTCTTCTTTTTTTAAACCTTTTATTCATGAATATTCTCAAAACAATTCATGCCGTACCATTGACATCAAAAGAGATGCATAGACATAAATGTACAATTCAATATCACATAAAACCTAAACCATAGACACAATAACTTTACCAAAGAGAGATCCTCTGTAATATTCACTCCCCTGTATCATTTAAATTATACACCTGTGGGCACAAGCCAAGGTTGCCACCCTCCTGGTGGGGTCTGGAAATCTCCAACAATAACGGCTCATCTCCAGACTCCAGAGATCAGTTTCCCCTGAAGAAAATGGCTGCTTTGGAGGGTGGACTCTGTGGCAACGTGCCCCACTGAGGACCCTCCCGTGCCCTAAACCCCGTCCCCCCGGGCTCCACCTCCTCAAATCTAAGAAGCAAAGCAGCGTTTGAACCCAATAAGCCACATGCTTCTAAAACTGCTTTAAATCAAGTCAGCCCAGAGAGGTTGCCCCCCCCCCGCCCTCCTGAAGGAGACAGTTTCACCAGAGATCCCAAATGCCATGAAGTTCTCTAGGTGATCCTGGTGGACCTAGGGTTGCCAACCTCCAGGTGGGGCCTGGGGATCACCCAGTATTACAACTGAACTGCAGATGACAGAGATCAGTTCCCCCCCGGAGAAAATGGCTGCTTTGGAGGCTGGACTCTGTGGCATGGTACCCCGCGGAGGTCCCTGCCCTCCCCAGACTCCCCCCCCCCAAAAAATTCCAGGAATCTCCCCAGGTTCCACCCTCAGAATCTCCGGGAATTCCACAGAGTTGGCAGTCCTAGGTAGACCACTTAGCCCAGGGGTGTCAAACATGCAGCCCGGGGGCCGGTTCAGGCCCCCCCGGAGGGCTTTCATCAGTCCCACAGTGGAACCGGCCACCTCCTGCTTCTAGTTCTGCTGCTTGCTTCGCCAGACTCTCTTAATCGCTCATCCATTTCATGTTTTCACCTGGGTCCTAGACTCAGAACTCTGAGCAGGAGATTTCTGTGGTGAATGTCAATAAATCAAAAGTAGGTTTGCAGCTGACAGAGCTAATGTTTGAAGCCTGTTTTTATTTTAAGTAAAAAAAAATATTTTGCGTTTGTGTCCTTTATAAAGTTTATATCTCCGCTACCCGGATTATTTCATGACACACGTGGCCCAGGGGCCCAACAAGGTCTCATTTATGTCAGTCATTATTATTATTTAATTCATTTGTACCCCGCCTTTCTCCCCATAGAAGCTTATGGCATTCTCCTGTCCTCCATTTTGTCCTTACAACCTCCCTGTGAGGTAGGTTAGGCTGAGAGAGTGTGACTGGCCCAAGGTCACCCAGTGAGCTTCTATGGCTTGTGGTGGGGATTCAAACCCGGGTCTTGCAGATACCACTCAGCGGCACCTTTAAGACCAGCAAAGTTTAATTCCGGGTATAAGCTTTCATGTGCATGCACACTTCGTCAGATACCAAGTGTGAAAGCTTACACTTTTAATAAAACTTTGTTGGTCTTAAAGGTGCCGCTGGACTCGAACTTTGTTCTGTTGCTTCAGACCAATGTGGCTGCCCACCTGAAGATACCCTTAACCACTGAAATCTCCGACACAGCTGAAACAAATCATGAGCTTTTGAACATGATACGCTAAGTGGTGTAGAAACTACCTAAGTCTGATTCCAGTACACCTCTGAGACCAACAAAGTTTTATTAAAAGTGTAAGCTTCCGTGTGCAAAACACACTTCTTCTTTCCAGTTTTGTCTGAAGAAGTGTCTTTTGCATACGAAATCTTACACTCCAAATAAAACTTTGTTGGTCTCAGAGTTGCCACTGGACTCAAACTTTGTACCTAGTCTGAAGTATACTTTCTGTAATAATTAATAATCATCATTATGGCAGTGTGTAGTATAGCCAGAGGTTCTAGCCAGATTGTCTGGCAGCCAGAGGTTCTAGCTCTTTTAGCGTTATGCACCACTAGGTGGCAAGCTAGACGTGCTTTTAGGGCACGAGACATTTCAGAGGTGGTTTGCCATTGCCTGCCCTCTGCATCATGACTAGGGTTGCCAAGTGGCACTTACCTTGCCAGCGGGGGACTCCCATTCGGATCCCGGTGCACGCGCGTGCATGTGAAGTGTGCGCCCGCCGCATGCACGTCACAGAGAAGTGACGTCATGACGCTGGGCATGCTGGGGGCGGGGCCACGACCATACAAGGGAAAACCATAGAGTTTTCCCTTGTATGGCCGTGGCCCTGCCCCCAGCGTGCCCGGCGTCATAACGTCACTTCCCTGTGACGTGC